CATGAGCCACCACGCCTGGCAAGAACAGGAGTTTCTGTTCACTATTGTCACCCCAGCGCCTAGAACACTGGAGCGATCAAAAAGTATTTGTCAAATGACTGAATGAAGGAATGAGCCTTCAGAGGCAAGATGCTCTAGGAATGAAGTTTGTAGACAAGAAAACATCCTCAAAGAGGTTAAATGACGCATGGAGGGTCACATGACCTCCCGTCACTGGTGGGTAACAGAAGCAGCGCACATCTCCTAACAAGGGCCCCCAGCTACTCCACAACCCCCATCACTCCGCCCCTTGTCGTAACAGCCCACCATCTCTCCATCAACGGATACCCAATCGTGTCCACCCCCTCCTGTTCACTGAGCACCTTCTACATGCCAGATCTTTCCATAACAGTTACATTCTAAAACAACAACAGCAGCCATTGGGTACTTGGCAGAGCTGCTGTTGGGAGCCAATGGAGTAACAAAACAGCCAGGTTCCATCTGGGGCCTGGAATGCATGAAAGGCCTGACTCACAGGCACTGCCACAAGCCCCTCAGGATGATACAATCAGCAGCCTCTCTTGACAGATGAGAAAACCGAGAGGTGAAGTTCCTCACTCAAGGTCACTCGGCTAGGGACTGGTGGTGCTCCCACACAAACCCAACCGGGGCTGACCCCAGAGCCCATTCCGACACAGCCTCTGAATACTCCTGGCAGCTCCAGTCACCAACAGCCATTCCCAGTAGTTGAGAGCTGACTTGTCACCAGACTTCCCATCATCACGACAACTCTTCCTGGCAGGGACCACTGTCCCCATATTACTGTGGTCAGATAGAAAAGGGCTCAGATCCTAGCCTATTCTGCTTCCTGACCCCTGACCTCTCTCTGGGATTAGACCTACCCTATTCCCAGCTTTCCAGATCTCTGCCCTCAAGTCCTTCAGGGCCCCATGCCGTCCTGGAGGTCTAGGCGCTCCGCTCCCTCTTCTGCCCTTCCCCCAAACCCCCACTCTATAACGTCTCCTTTCCAGGGCAGCTTCCCTGTCACAGGTTTTCCCAACACCTTACACCTGCAGCTCCTTTCCTCTGCCCTCCTTGGGTCCCTCCTTCTCCCTCAGCTGCCCCTCTGGCCCCCTCCACACTGCCTTCCATGTCTAAGCAATCTCCCATCCTGAAGCCCCACTATCCCTCACCAGGGTGTCCTTATAGTCTGGCCCTCCCATCATCTCCCTGCCCTGAACCCGAGGACTTTCAACCACTCTCAGGCCTCCTCTATACCACTGGCCGGGAGCCTCAGTGACCTATCTAACCACCCCCCCATATGACACCCCCATCCCAGGCCCTCAAGCCTGCTCAATTAGGCTTCGGGCGTTCCACTTCCTACAGGTCCCCTCTGGCTTCCTCCCATTCCATCGCTCCACAGGGTACCTCCCGCCCTCCCCCCACCCCGCGCCATGCACTTCTTTCCCTTCCTCTCTACGTTAGGGCTCCTTCTAACCCCATCGTTTGTACGATCCCCCAGCCTTTCAGTCTTTCCCAAGGGACACCTCTATGCTCTCATCCCCGGGACCTCATTGGCCTCCTCCCCTTTCCAGCACCCCCGGACCCCTCTAGTTACTCCGTGTCGTCACCTCAAGAGGCACTCTATGACACCCCAAGCCCCTGCGTGACCCCCACCTTAAAGTTCCTCCCGGGGCCCATCTATACTCGCCCTCTACAGCCGCAAAGGCTTTTGATCCCCCGGGTCCCTCTGTGACCCCCAAACCCCTCAATTTAAGGCTCCCCCCTCCCCCGCGTCTCCAGTGTCCCCCGGCCGCGCGCTCACAGTTCCGGATGTCGGAGATGAACACAGCGAGTCCCCGCATCCCATCGCCCTTGGACACGGCCGGCATGATGGCAGTGGTGTCGGCTCCAGGCCTGGCCGGACAGGGCACAGCGCAGCGGGGGCTGGCAGGCGGGGACCAGGCGGAATGGACCCCAGGCAGCGCCGAAGAGCCAAGCCGGCCGCGGGGAGGGCTGACTGGCGGGCGGGCGGGCGGGCTGGCAGGCCGTGGCACCGCCCACCGGCCCCTCCCCTCTACCCGCCTTCCGGAGCTTTCAGCCGCCTATTGGTAAGAGCTTCTGCCACTCAGACGCGGGTTTAATTCCCTACTTTTTCTCTCATTGGCCGCTAAGCAAAGGCACGACGCTGCGATTGGCCCAGTGCTCCGCTATTTCCGTTCGGGAGCGGGGAGGGAAGAGGAGGCGTTGCCCGAGAGACGGGCGGGGTTCGATTGCGTAAAATGGACCCGCCCCTTCCGCGCAGCCAAGTCAAACACTGATTGGATCTAGCCGGTCTCCAAGGAGGGAGGGAGGGACGTGACGGAAGGCGGGGAAAGGGCCCTAGGAGGCGGGACTGAGGTTGACCGAGACCAATGAGCGGGTAAACCTCCCCCGCAGGAGTCACGGATTGGTGAGATCTGTCCTACTTCCACCCTCTATTGGGCGGCTTTGGGGGGCGGGCGGAAGGCGAAGAGCAGTAGAAGGAAAGAAGAGGGTGTCACTCCGCTCGGCTGGGATAGGTGGAGCGACGCCTGCAATTCCATGCTGCAGAGAAGGAGTTGGGCGGGGCAAGAGAGCGTTCAGTGTTTACTGCGCAAGCGTCTCCGTGTTCCCTTTCTGCCTTCACTGTCACCCCCGACTGCTAAAATCCTCTTCGAGGAAGCCTTCCTCCCCTCCCCACTTCTCTGCAGCCAACGTGTCGGGACTTGTTTTGTCAGGAGACCCAGAATCTCAGAGTGAAAAACAGTAATTCACGGCTAGTCCCATTAAGCAGAGATTAAATCATAGGTCGAGAGGGTGAATGACTTGCCCAGGGCCACACAACTTGGAAGTGAAAGAACAGAAATAAATGTAGACCATATCTTGGCTTTCAACTATTTTTCAACATATGTTGCCTTTTTTTTTGGGTCCAACCACAATGTCTCTCGGGCAGCCTCCATTGTAGCAGATATCAAACCAAAATTGATTCTCTCTTCCAGACTAGGAACTCCTGGGCAAGAATGGGACCTGGTCTTGAAGAGTTTCAACAACATTTGTTAAAGGAAGGCATGGGTGAATCTGCTTTGGCCCAACCCCAGCCTCAATCCCCTACCCTCAGCTCCCCAGAGTCTTTGGTAAACTGGCTTTGGGGAAGGCAAAACGGCCAGAACTCCCAACGCCCAGGGCAATTGAGAAATTTGGGACAAAGGGAACTGGAAGAGTCCATTTCTGTCACCTGTGGGGAAAGAACTCCCCCCCCCCACCTCGCCCCCGCCACCAGCCTTTTCTAATCTCAGAAGTCAAGCATTCCTGGAATGAGTCTTGGGGGTGTGTCCTGGATCTTTGGAATGGCCTCTCTGAATCCTGGGAGCCGGAAAGGAGGTTAAGAAGAGCCCACTTTCCAGGCTCAATGGATGCGTCTACCTGGGTTTCCAGGAATGGGCCTGGGAAAATCCATTTTGGATTCTAGGAGGACAGATACCGCTCAGCTGTTTTAATAACAGGGAGGGTCCATTTGTAATATGAGTGGGGGTGTTGTTTGCCCCTGAAGAGCATAAAGCAGTCCCATTAAACACAAGAAAAATTATAAATATCAGGACTTCACAAAGTTCTTTTTTTTTTTTTTTTTGAGACAGTCTCACTCTTTCGATGGAGTTCAGTGGCTCAAGCTCGGCTCACTGCAACCTCTGCCTCTCGGGTTCAAGCGATTCTCCTGCCTCAGCCTCCCATATAGCTGGGATTACAGGCACCCGCCCTCGTGCCCAACTAAACTTTGTATTTCTGTAGAAACGGGGTTTCACCATGTTGGCCAGGCTGGTCTTGAACTCATGACTTAAGGTGATCTACCCGCCTCAGCCTTCCAAAGTGCTGGGATTACAGGCGTGAGCCAACGGGCCAGGCCGAAGGAGTTTTTTTTTTAAACGGAGTCTCGCTCTGTCACCAGGCTGCAGTGCAGTCGTGCGATCTCAGCGCACTGCAACCTCCGCCTCCCGGGTTGAAATGATTCCCCTGCCTCAGCCTCCCGAGTAGCTGGGATTACAGGCGCGCGCCACCACACCCGGCTAATTTGTCTATTTTTAGGAGAGACGCGGTTTCACCATGTTGGCCAGGCTGAGGAGAAATGTCTTTTTTACAGAAAGACATTACGCGTTCCAAGGACTGGAGTCCATTAATGACCAGGAAAGAAGCACCTTTCTCCCTGGGGATAACGCCATTAAAAATACTTAGCCCGGCGCGGTGGCAGGCGTCAGCAATCTCAGTTATTTGGGAGGCTGAAACAGGAAGACTGGTTGAACCCAGGAGGTGGAGGTTGCGGTGAGCGGAGATCGACCCACTGCACTCCAGCCTGAGCGACAGTGCAAGACTCCGTCTGAAAAAAAATTTAAATTAAGAAAAATTTTAAAAATTAAAGAAAACAATAAATAAATGGGGGAGGGGTGGAGCCACCCTCTCTCCTGCCCCAACTCTCCATCTTCCTCTCCTCCCTCACCTTCCACACCTAGCTGTAGGCCCACCGCACCTAACATTCTCTTGTTGATCTATCTACCTGTACATTGCCTTTTCCCCCGACCCTAATGCCCCATAGAATATGAGACTCTGCAGGTCAGGGTCTGGATCTCAGTCCTCTTCCACCGCAGTCTCCTAGACCCCAGGCAAGCATCAAATCCAGGATGCTACATGAAGAATCAAGTACAAGTGCACGGGGCTGGGCGACCCCACACTTAGTCTCAGGGAAAGGGAAGTTGGTCTTCTCCCAAGAACCGGTGGGCCAACCCATTGCAAGTTACAAACTAGCATGAGTCCATTCACTGGAGCCTGTCGCTCTGAAGACGGTGGTGGGGGGTGTCACGTTGGGCATACAACTGGAATCCTGAACAGGAGGAGTCCACTGAGAACACTGGGGGGATGACCTGGGCCAGCAGCTCTCCCTACCCTGTGTCCCCCCACTCGTGGGGGCCCAGTGGTTGGGTCCTTTGTGAGACAGGCTGAGAGGACAGTGGACCCTGGAGGGTCTGTGGTTAGAACAGGTGGGAAGTCTCAGAGGAAGGAGCCCCTGGGAGCCAGACTCCCACGCCATGGCGAGCGTGGTGGTGAAGACGATCTGGCAGTCCAAAGAGATCCATGAGGCTGGGGACATCCCTGCGGAGGTCGAGAGCTGCTCCCAGCTAGTCCCTGAGGCTCCCCGGGGGGTTACCAGCCCGGACAAGGGGATTCCCAGGAAAAAGAAGGCCGTGTCGTTCCACGGGTGGGTTTGGCGCACCCTGCCGGGGATGGTTCTAACGCCCAGCACTGCCTCCAACAGAGCAGGAGTCCCACTGTGGGTGCTGGAGGAAGAGGGGGGAAAAGCCAGCGGGTGAGGGGCAGGAAAGAGACAAAAAGCAGCAGGGAGGTAGAGAGGAAGAAGGTAGTGGGGATGAATGGAGGGAAGAAAAAGCCAGTGGGGAGGGAAGAAGGGAGGCTAGTGAATGAAGGAGAAAGCAGGCAGTGGGGAAGGAGAAGGGGGAAAGTAGGCAGTGGGGCCAGGCGCGGTGGCTCACGCCTGTAATCCGAGCACTTTGGGAGGCCGAGGCAGGCAGATCACAAGGTCAAGAGATAGAGAACATCCTGGCCAACATGGTGAAACCCTGTCTCTACTAAAAATACAAAAATTGGCCGGGCGTGGTGGCTCACACCTGTAATCCAAGCACTTTGGAGGCTAAGGCGGGTGGATCACGTGAGGTCGGGAGTTCAAGACCAGCCTGACCAACATGGTGAAAACCCGTCTTAAAAAATAAATAAATAAAAATACAAAAATTAGTGGGGTGTGGTGGCACCCACCTATAATCCCAGCTACTCAGGAGGCTAAGGCAGGAGAACCACTTGAACCCAAGAGGCAGAGGTTTTGGTGAGCCAAAGACAGAACCACTGCACTCCAGCCTGGGCGACAGCTCACACTGTAATCCCAGCACTTTGGGAGGCCAAGACGGGCAGATCACCTGAGGTCAGGAGTTCAAGACCAGCATGACCAATATGCAGAAACCCCTGTCTCTACTAAAAATAGAAAATTAGCTGGGTGTGGTAGTCCATGCCTGTAATCCCAGCTACTCGGGAGGCTGAGGCAGGAGAATCGCTGGAACCTGGGAGACGGAGGTTGCAGGGAGCCAACTGCACCACTACACTCCATCCTGGGTGACAGATCAAGACTCCATCTCAAAAAAAAGAAAGAAAGAAAGTAGGCAGCAGGGACAGAGAAGGAAGAACCAGGTAGCAGTGAGGTTGGAGTCAACAGGGGGTGAGGTATGCAGAAAGGAAGGCAGGAGGGGCCAGACCACAGGCAGGAGTTGACCTTTCTGCCTGTTTCTCCTCTGTAGGGTGGAGCCCCCGATGTCCCACCAGCCCATGCACTGGTGCCTGAACCTCAAACGGTCGTCGGCCTGCACCAATGTGTCACTGCTCAACCTGGCCTCCATGGAGCCCACCGACTCCTCGGGGACAGACTCAATAGTGGAAGACCTCAGCAGCCAACTCGCCGGGCCCCCTGCCTCCCCCACCCTACCCTGGGTTCTGGATGACCCAGACATCTCGGAAATCCTGGTGAGGGCCCCCCACACCACCCTCTGGGGAAGACCAAGGTCCTCCAGGTGCTGGTAGCAAATACTTAGGACGGAGTGGGGTGTTTTGGATTTGGAATGAGAACCTTCTGGTTGCTTTTTGAGACCCAGAGGAACTAACAAGGATCTGCCTCCTCCTTTCCTGACAGCCAGCTGTGAATATGGGAGTTGGTCTTTTTTTTTTTTTTTCCAGAGACAGTCTCACCGTGTTGCCCAGGATGGTCTCAGACTCTTGGGCTCAAGGGATTCTCCCACCTCGGCTTCCCACAGTCCTGGGATTATAGGCATGAACCACCACACCTGGCCTGGGTGTAGGTCTTTAGTTCATACAGTCACTCCCAAATGTCCCCAATGAGGCTGGGCTCAGGAACCTGCACTTGGGGAGCTCCCAGTCTGGTGGGGGACAATAGACACAGACTAGGGTAAGAAATTCTGTAATGGAGGAGAAGAGCCCCTCAAGCCAGGCTGGGGGTATCAAGGAAAGCTTCCTGGAGGAGGATGTGTTGCAACCCTACTTTAGTGAATGAATAGGAGTTCTCTGATGGGAGTCACCTAAGAATCTGGGACAAAACTGAGAGGTGAAGCAAGATTTAGAGGGCTTTAGGGAATTTCTGAATCTCTGCTCCTCACCCCGCCTGGTTTCCCCTGGGCCAGGCCTGAAACGGCTCCACCAGATACTGAGATACTGAGAACTACACTAACCACAACCATGGTGTTTGTTTTTTGTCTTTTGTTTTGAGACGGAGTCTTACTCTGTCGTCCTGGCTGGCGTCCAATGGCATAGTCTTGGCTCACTGCAACCTCCATCTCCCGGGTTCAAGCAATTTTCCTACCTCATTCTCCCAAGTAGCTGGGATTACAGGTGCCCACCACCGTGCCTGGCTAATTTTTGTATTTTTAGTAGAGACGGGGTTTCACCATCTTGGCCAGGCTGGTCTGGAACTCCTGACCTTGTGATCCACTCTGTGGGCCTCTTCCAAAGTGTTGAGATTACAGGCGTGAGCACCAGCCATGATCTTAATGCTGTTGAGATTCGGTAGCATTTACTGAGCATTTTCCATGTTCAGGGAGCCCCAGTTTACCCATCTGTAAAATGGAGATGCATGCATTTGTTCCTGCATTTTTAAATTTTATCTATTTTTGAGGCAGGGTCTTGCTCTGTCTCCCAGGCTGGAGTGCAGTGGCGCGATTACAGCTCCCTGCAGCCTTCAGCTCCTGGGCTCAAAGGATCCTCCCATCTCAGACCTCAGTAGCTGGGACCACAGGCACCCACCTGGCAAATTTTTTTCTTAATGTTTTTATAGAGACAGGGTCTCATGATGTTGGCCAATCTGGTCTTGAACTCCTGGATTCAAGTGATTCTCAGTCCTCAGCCTCCCAAAGTGCTGGGATTATAGGTGTGAGCCGTTGTGCCCAGCCACATTTGTTCTTTTTAACAAATATCTCTTTTTATTTATTCCTTTTTTGAGATGGAGTCTCACTCTGTGAACAATCTGGATTGCAGTGGCGCAATCTTGTCTCACTGCAAACTCCGCCTCCCAAGTTCAAGTGATTCTCCCACCTCAGCCTTCCAAGTAGCTGGGATTACAGGCACACCACGACAGCTGGCTAATTTTTGTATTTTAGTAGAGATGGGGTTTCACCATGTTGGCCTGGCTGGTCTCGAATTCCTGACCTCAGGTGATCCACCCACCTCAGCCTCCCAAAGTGCTCGGATTACAGGGGTGAGCCATGGCACCCGGCCTCTCTTTCTCTTTCTTTTTTTTTCATTTTCTTTTTTTTTTTTTTTTTGAGACGGAGTTTCGCTCTTGTTAACCAGGCTGGAGTGCAATGGCACGATCTCGGCTCACCGCAACCTCCGCCTCCTGGGTTCAGGCAATTCTCCTGCCTCAGCCTCCTGAGTAGCTGGGATTACAGGCACGCGCCACCATGCCCAGCTAATTTTTTGTATTTTTAGTAGAGACGGGGTTTCACCATGTTGACCAGGATGGTCTCGATCTCTTGACCTCGTGATCCACCCGCCTCAGCCTCCCAAAGTGCTGGGATTACAGGCTTGAGCCACCGCGCCTGGCCCTTCATTTTCTTTTTTGAGACAGGGTCTCACTCTGATGGCCAGGCTGGAGTGCAGTGGCATAATAGCTCACTGCAACCTCAAAGCCTTGGACATAAGTGATCCTCCCGCTTTAACCTCCATGGTGCACACCACCATGCCCAGCTAAACACATTTCTTTTTCTTTTTTCTTTTCTTAAGACTGGGTTTGCTCTGTTGCCCAGGCTGGAGTGACAGCCTGACTGCCCAGGCACAATCATGGCTCACTGTAGCCTTGACCTCCCCAGCCTCAGGTGATCCTCCCACCTCAGCCTCCCAAGCAGCTGTAACTACAGGCACATGCCACCACGCCCAGCTAATTTTGTATTTTTAGTAGAGATGGGATTTCTCCATGTTGGTCAGGTTGGTCTTGAACTACCGACCCCAGGTGGTCCACCTGCCTCGGCCTCCCAAAGTGCTGGGATTACAGGCATGAGCCACCACACCTGGCCATAAACTGGATCTTGAAGATAAGTAAAGTAGTGCCCAGACAGAAGACAGGGAAAGGTGTCCCAGCTCCCAGGAACAGCATGTGCAGAGGGACAGGAACTGAAAAGAGCCCGGAATAGGAGAGGTAGCTTCAAGGTGGTTCCTGCAGCTGGTGTGTGGTATGTGAGAGAGAGGAGGCTGGTGGAAGGGGAGGGCACAGGCCACACAAACTGAGCAATATGGGCATTTTCCTGACAGCAATGGGGAGCCAGCGCGGGTTCAGGAGGGAGAGAGGAACAACTCAGGATTTTGGCTCCGTTCCATTTACTGAGCTCCAGCCAAGTGCTGTGCTGCATCCCTCATGGTGGGAAACTTGTTTTTCTCTCTTTAAAGTTCTGTAAGGGAACTGCTATCATTACGCAGTTAGAAACTGAGAAAAGGGACTGAAGCAGTCCAGCAGTGCTGGCCTGTAGTCCCAGTGACTCAGGAGGCTGAGGCAGGAGGATGGCTTGACCCCAGGAATTGGAGGCTGCAGTGAGCTGTGATTACATCACTGTGCTCCAGCCTGGGCAACAGAACGAGACCCTAGAGACCCTGCCTCTAAAAAAAACAACTAAGGACCCAGCGTGCTGGCTCACAGCTATAATCCCAGCACTTTGGGAAGTTGAGGCAGGCAGATCCCCTGAGGTCAGGAGTTTAAGACCAGCCTGGCCAATATAGTGAAACCCCATCTCTACTAAAAATACAGAAAATTGGCTGGGCGTGGTGGCACGTGCCTGTAATCCCAGCTACTCGGGAGGCTGAGGCAGGAGAATTGCCTGAACCCAGGAGGTGGAGGTTGCAGTGAGCTGAGACAGTGCCATTGCACTCCAGCCTGGGTGACAAGAACGAAACTGTCTCAGGAAAAAAAAATACCCCACTAAGGTAGACAGCAGTGTAGTAACCTCCACAAGGTCAAGGATGGAGAGCTCGTAAGAAGCAGAACCAGGATAAGAAGGGTGCTGCTCTTGTCACTAATGCAAAAGCCTTTCTCTCCCCAGGACTCCCCTGGACTGAGCAGGGGATGTTTGAAGGGGAGGCACTGAGTCAGGGAGGCCAGAGAGGAGGCTGGGCAAGGGGCCAGGGAAGGAGAAGGAGCTGCAGGGAAGAGAATAGGGCAGAGTCGGCTGGGAAGGATGCCCGGGAGACATCCTCCCCCAGACAGCAGAGCTCTCCCCCCATCTCAGGGAGTGTCTCTCGGGCAGCACTTGCAGCCGTCTGCCTCCCACCAGAGCTATTCCTGAGTCACATCCCTCAGTGGATCGTGAAGCCAGAGAAAGTGCCCCAGGCAGCGAGGATTGAGGTCTGGCACAGCCGCCAGCTCGCTGTGGGGCTGCAGGGGACTGCCAGCCTCTCAGAGGCTTCAAGTTCCTTCTCTGTGGCATGGAAAAAGTACTGACCTTGGGTGCATGCTGAAGAGGCAAGGGGGTCCGCAGGAGCGGGAACCAGCACCCAGTACCCGAGCTGTACCCAGAGAGAAGATGGGGACAGGTAGAGAGAAGGGCACAAAGACCCAGAGAGGGGATGGAGACCCAGAGATGGAGTGGGACAGAGACCAAGAAAGGAGGACAGAGACCCGGAAAGAGGGGGACAGAGACCCAGAGAGACGGGGATAGAGACCCAGGGAGATTAGGAGAGAGACTCAGAGAGGGGAACAGAGACCCAGAGAGAGAAGGAAAGACACTCAAAGGGTTGAGGGACAGAGGCTCTGCGGGGAGGAAGAGACGGGTCCAGTGTGAGAGGGATAGAGACTCAGACGGCAGAAGAGATGACCAGGGCGGGGAACGGTGGCTCGCGCCTGTAGTCCAGCACATTTTTTTTTTTTTTTTTTTTTTTGAGAGACGGAGTTTTGCTCTTGTTCCCAAGCTGGAGGGCAGCGGTGCGATCTCGACTCACTACAACCTCTGCCTCCCAAGTAGCTGGGATTACAGGCATGCACCACCACACCCAGCTAATTTTCTATTTCTAGTAGAGACAGGATTTCTCCATGTTGGTCAGACTGGTCTCCAACTCCTGACCTCAGGTGATCCGCCCGCCTCCGCCTCCCAAAGTGCTGGGAGTACAAGTGTGAACCACCGAGCCTGGCCATCTCAGTACTTTTGGGAGGCTGAAGTGGGTGGATCACTTGAGGCCAGGAGTTCAAGACCAGCCTGGCCAATATGGTGAAACCCCGTCTCTACTAAAAATACAAAAATTAGCTAGGCGTGGTGGTGCATGCCTATAATGCTAGCTACTCAGGACGCTGAGGCAGGAGAATCCCTTGAATCCAGGAGGTGGAGGTGGAGGTGAGCTGAAATCGTGCTGCTGCACTTCAGCCTGAGTGACAAAGGGAGACTCCATCCAAGGAGAAGGAGGAGGAGGAGGAGGAGAAAAGGAAGAAGGAGGAGGAGGAGGAGGAGGAGGAGAAAAGGAAGAAGGAGGAGGAGGAGGAGGAGGAGGAGGAGAAGGAGGAGAAGGAGAAGGAGAAGGAGGAGGAAGAAGCTGGGCACATTGGCTTATGCCTGTAACTCCAGCACTTTGGGATGCCAAGGTGGGCAGATCACAAGGTCAGGAGTTCGAGACCAGTCTGGCCACCACACCTGGCTAATTTTTGCATTTTTAGTAGAGACAGTTTTCACCATGTTGGCCAAGCCAGGGTCAAACTCCTGACCTCGGGTGATCCGCCTACCTTGGCCTCCCAAACTGCTGGGATTACAGGCGTGTGCACCACCACGCCTGGCTAATTTTTGTGTTTTTAGTAGAGATGGGGTTTCACCATGCTGGTCTTGAACTACTGACCTCAGGTGATCCACCCACTTTGGCCTTCCAAAATTCTGGGATTACAGGCATGAGCCACCGAACCGGGCTGCCATACACTTTTAAACATCAGAGCTGGCATGAACTCAAAACTTACTCATCACCGAGGGGATAGCGCTAACCCATTAACGATAGATCCACTCGAATGATCCAAACACCTCCCACCAGGCCCTGCCTCCAACACTGGGAATTACTTTTTTTTTTTTTCCTTTTGAGATGGAGTCTCACTCTGTTGCCCAGGCTGGAGTGCAGTGGCGCGCTCTCAGCTCACTGCAACCTCCACCTCCTGGGTTCAAGTGATTCTCCTGCCCCAGCCTCCCAAGTAACTGGCATTACAGGCGCCTACCACCATGCCTAGCCAATTTTTGTATTTTTAGTAGAGACGGTGTTTCACTACATTGGCCAGGCTGGTCTTGAACTCCTGACCTCAAGTGATCCATCCGCCTTGGCCTCCCAAAGTGCTGAGATTACATTTTTGAGCCACTGTTTCCAGCCTGAATTTCTTAATCTACCATTTTGCTGATGTCAACTGAATACAATATTTTTCTTTTTCTTTTTCTTTTCTCTTTTTGAGACAGAGTTTCACTCTTGCCGCCCAGGCTGGAGTACAAGGGCACATTCTTGGCTCACTGCAACCTCCACCTCTCCGGTTCAAATGATTCTCCTGCCTCAGCCTCCCAAGTAGCTGGGATTATAGGTCTGTGCCACCACGCCCAGCTAATTTTTTTTTTTTTTTTGGTATTTTTAGTAGAGACAGGGTTTCTCCACGTTGGTCAGGCTGGTGTCAAACTCCTGACCTCAGGTGATCCGCCCACCTTGGCCTCCCAAAGTGCTGCAATTATGGATACAATATTTCTTATCATACTTGTTACCCAGAGCAATCATGTAAGAAATGCGTTGCTGCCCCATCTTACAAGGGAAGACACTTGTTCTCTCTTTCTCTTTGTATATTCAGCAACCCTTAGAGAAACCAAGAGAACTGGGCTTTTTTTTTTTTTTTCTTTTTGCACATAAAAGGCTCAATAGGCCAGGCGTGGTGGCTCATACCTGTAATCCAAGCACTTCGGAGGCCAAGGCGGGCGGATCACACGAGGTCGGGAGTTCAAGACCAGCCTGACCAACATGGTGAAACCCCATCTTAAAAAAATTAAAAATAAAAATAAAAAGGCTCAATAATCACAGGAGCTCTGCTCTTCAAATGCAGCAGTTTACAGGCGTCTGTGTTCTGGCTGCTCCGCCCTTTCTACACAGTTGCTCTCACCACTGCCTTCCAGCCATTAAGCACAGGGAACAAGGGACAAGACCATGCTTAGCTTTTCCACACATGGACCACTGCCCACTTCCCTTCCACTGGCTGGAACTGGTCATAACCAGCTGCCAGAGGGCTCCCTGGGTCTCTTTTCCTTCAAGTGTGAAATAACAATGTTGGCTGGGTGCAGTGCCTCACACCTGTAATCCCATCACTTTGGGAGGCTGAGGTGGGCGGATCACCTGAGGTCAGGAGTTCAAGACCAGCCTGACCAACATGGTGAAACCCCATCTCTACTAAAAATTTTAAAAAACATTAGCCAGGTGTGGTGGCGCACACCTGTAGTCTCAGCTACTCGGGAGGCTCAGGCAGGAGAATCGCTTGAACCCGGGAGGCAGAGGTTGTAGTGAGCCAAGATCACGCCCCTGCACTCCAGCCTGGGCGACAGAGTGAGACTCGGTCTCAAAAAAAAAAAAAAAACTCAATGATATTGAGGTTATACATTTGACTACTGTAAGAAAAAGGCACAAAACAACAGCTTGAATAACACAGGAGATGCAGTGTCTCACCCTGAACGTCTTCACAGGTGGTTGGAATGGAGTATGGTGGCTCCAGTGTAAAGGACTCAGGCTCCTTCTGTCTCCTTGTGTCCTCTATCTGCTGGTCCAAGGCAGCCCTCAATTGTGCATTCCAGTGAAATGAGAGAAAAACGGAAAGTTCTCATACCTTTCCTTTAAGGGATGACTCAGAAATTGACTATAATTCTGCATAATCCAAGTAATGATCTAGGCTAAAGGAAAAAAAAAAAGGAGGCTGGATGCAGTGGCTCATGCCTGTAAGACCAACACTTTTGGAGGCTGACACAAAAGGATCACTTGAGGCTGGGCGCAGTGGCTCACACCTGTAAACCAGCACTTTGGGAAGCCAAGAGGGGCAGATCACCTGAGGTCAGGAGTTTGAGACCAGCCTGGCCAAAACGGTGAAACCTCATCTCTATTAAAAAAAAAAAAAAAAAAAAGCCGGGCGCGGTGGCTCACGCCTGTAATCCCAGCACTTTGGGAGGCCAAGGCGGGTGAATCACGAGGTCAAGAGATCGAGACCATCCTGGTCAACATGGTGAAACCCCGTCTCTACTAAAAATACAGAAAAATTAGGGGGGCATGGTGGCACGTGCCTGTAATCCCAGCTACTCAGGAGGCTGAGGCAGGAGAATTGCCTGAACCCAGGAGGCGGAGGTTGCGGTGAGCAGAGATTGCGCCATTGCACTCCAGCCTGGTTTACAAGAGCGAAACTCGGTCTCAAAAAAAAAAAAAAGGATCACTTGAGCCCAGGAGTTTGAGGCCAGCTTGGGTAACATAGGGAGACCCCATCTATACCAAAAATTTTAAAATTTTGCTACCGTGCCTGGTAGCAAGCACCTATAGTCCTAGCTACTTGGGAGGCTGAGCCCGAGTTGGTGAGCAATGATAGCACCACTCCACACCAGCCAGGGTAATAGTGAGAGACCACCCCCCCACTGCCCCCACAAAATAAATCGACATTATTTACACTCACATTCCATTGGCCAGAACTTAGTCACATGGCCACACCTAGCTGTAAGGGATCCTGGGAAATGTAGTCTCTGGTTGGGCAGCCATGTGCCAGGGTAATGCTTCTGTATCTGTCCAAGCTGGGAGAATGGATCCTACCACATGCATCCCTCGTGAACCACAGATTGGCAGGAATCATAAACCATTTGATGTGATATAAAGTAATGATGACCAGAGGCCACATGGTGTCATGGTTTAAAACAAGGGTTCTGAATCTAAATTCTGATGAGGTCACGTAATGTGCTGTGGACCTGGGAAGACAAGGGACGTCCCGTTTCTGCGAGCCATTTGTCTCACTTGTAAAATGGGCCAAATAACCTCAAGAAGTGTGGCTGTGAAGAATAAGAGAAGACTGGCAGGTGCTTATATCTGAAAGGTGGCTTCCTTTGTAATGAACCAGTTCCTGCATACAAAGGTAGAGCATATGTTTTCACAGTTTATCTTTTTTTTTTTTTTTTTTTTGAGACGGAGTTTCCCTCTTGTTATCCAGTCTGGAGTGCAATGGCCCGATCTCGGCTCACCGCAACCTCTGCCTCCTGGGTTCAGGCAATTCTCCTGCCTCAGCCTCCCAAGTAGCTTGGATTACAGGCACACGCCACCATGCCCAGCTAATTTTTTGTATCTTCAGTAGAGACGGGGTTTCACCATGTTGACCAGGATGGTCTCGATCTCTTGACCTCGTGATCCACCCGCCTCGGCCTCCCAAAGTGCTGAGATTACAGGCTTGAGCCACCGCACCCGGCCTTATCTTTTTTTTTTTTTTTTTTTGAGACGGAGTTTTGCTGTTGTTACCCACACTGGAGTGCAATGGCACGATCTCAGCTCACCGCAACCTCTGCCTTCTAGGTTCAAGCAATTCTCCTGCCTCAGCCTCCCGAGTAGCTGGGACTACAGGTGCGCACCACCATGCCCAGCTAATTTTTGTATTTTTAGCAGAGACGAGGTTTCATCATGTTGACCAGAATGGTCTCGAGCTCTTGACCTCGTGATCCACCCGCCTCAGCCTCCCAAAGTGCTGGGATTATAGGCGTGAGCCACCGTGCCCAGCCACAGTTTATCTTTTTATGCTGTGGACCCAAGGAATTTTTTTTTTTTTTAGACGGAGGCTTCCTCTGTCGCCCAGGTTGGAATGCAGTGGTGCGGTATCAGCTCACTGCAACCTCTGCCTCCCAGGTTCAAGCGATTCTCCTGCCTCAGCCTCCCAGGTAGCTGGAATTAAAGGCATGCACCACCATGCTCAGCTAACTTTTGTATTTTTAGTAGAGATGGGGTTTTACTATGTTGGCCAGGCTGGTCTTGAACTCCTGACCTCAAGTGATCCACCCACCTCGGCCTCCCAAAGTGCTGAGATTACAAAAGTGAGCCCCTGCACCTAGCACCCAAGGTCACTTAACTCAGTGTTTGATTGAGTCCATCCTTCTTCCCCCACATGTCTGAGCACCCCACTTCCATCCCCCATTCTCTCCTGGATCCTGCTTATTTTTCTCCGAGGACACCATAAAGAAAGGTAGTTTACCCCCTGGGTTCACTGCACAGGAATGCTAAGAATCAGAGGTGCAGCTCTTGACTCCAAGTCACAGCCATCCCAGGGCAAAATCAAGGTGTAAACACAGCTTCCCAGTTCTGGAATTTTTCTTGGGCTTGGGGCTTGCCCCCACACACCCACTAACTCACTTGTCTCCCATTCTTCCCCAGAGTGGGGTCAACAGTGGATTGGTCCGTGCCAAAGACTCCATCACCAGCTTGAAGGAAAAGACCACTCGGGTTAACCAGCATGTGCAGACCCTGCAGGTGTGAGGACCCCCATGTCCAACATCTGATCTCCCTCCAGGGCCAAGTTCCCTTCTTGGAGCCTGCCTCCAGCACCCATAGCTCAGTCAGGAGAGGAACCTTCCCAGGCCCAGATCTTCTTTCCCATGGGCTGTCCCCTGGTGCCCTTGGCTAACTCCCCTCCTTCCATGCTCCAGAGTAAGTGTTCCGTGCTGAGTGAGAATCTGGAGAGAAGGCGGCAGGAGGCAGAAGAGTTGGAGGGGTACTGCATTCGACTCAAGGTGAGCCACTGGGACGCAGGAGTGGGTAGGGAGAGGGGAATGGGAGTAAGAAGAGAGTGGGAGAAAAAGGGAGGAGGGCGGGCGCAGTGGCTCACACTTGTAATCCCAGCACTTTGGGAGGCTGAGGTGGGTGGGTCACTTGATGTGAGGACATTGAGACTAGCCTGGCCAACATGGTAAAACCCCATCTCTACTGAAAATACAAAAATTAGTCGGGTGTTATGGTGGGTGCCTGTAATCCCAGCTACTCGGGAGGCTGAGGCAGGAGAATCACTTGAACCCGGAAGGCAGAGGTTGCAGTGAGCCAAGACTGCACCATTGCACTCCAGCCTGGACAATAGAGTGAGACTCACTCTCGAGAGAAAAAAAAAAAGGAAGAGGGTAGGAATGGGACTCATGAGAGGTGGGAGGAAGCCGTTCCTTTAGCCAAGGAAATGGGGGAATGTGTCGTGTATTTAGGGGCTGGGAGGCCTGGAGCCTGAAGGGAAATAGGCAGGCTAAGGAAAGGGAGGCAGAGCTGAAACAGGAAGGCAGGGCCCTCGCCCTGGTGTCTGACCCAGGAGAACTGCTGGATGGTGACCCGGTCTGTGGAAGATGCTGAAATCAAAACCAACGTCTTGAAGCAGAATTCTGCCCTGCTGGAGGTAAGGGCTGGGGCGGGGGGTGGGAACGGTCCCAGGATTTGTGGGAGAAGGTCAGACACACAAGGAACTTGAGATACACTTTTAGGTGGAGCTCCCTGCCGGACACCACCACGCTGCCCCTTTGTGCACATGGCCGTCTTTAGGACCCACTAATAAAAGGGATGCAAATGAGGCTCCAACACGCAGATGTGGGGGGGGCTCCAACACCCTGCAGTCCCGTTCAGGTCCCAGAGAGACTCAAGCTGGACTTCAAGTGAGAAGGCCTGTTCTGTCCATATTCTCACTCATTTTCCAACAAAATACTGAGAAGGCTTCAGTTGTTCTTGCTAAGTGGCTGGGACTGGTATTTGACCCCTGGAGGCATGGAGGGCTGGGTGGGTACCTGGAGGCAGGCTGTGGGAGGTTACTGGGAATTGGAGTCCAGCTGGCCCTCAAATGGTGCCGCCCCTCCCTAATGACAGCAGGCGGGACTTCCCAACATCCTGTCCCCACAGGCGTCTACTTCCTCTCGGGGAGTACTGGAGTGGATTTGGGGGTGGAGGTGGTTGCAGGAGGAAAGCGGCTGGACGCTGTGACCCCGTCCTCCCTCACCGCCCAGGAGAAGCTGCACTACCTCCAGCAGCACCTGCAGGATGAGACACCGCGACGGCAGGAGGCTGAGCTACAGGAGCCGGAGCAGAAGCAGAAGCCGGAGGCTGGCCTCTCCAGGAACTGCCTGGACCCCGCCGCCATGCCCCAGGGCTGCCCCGGCCCGCCGGGAAGTCCCCACGAACCCTCGCGGCCACGCGGCCTGGCCCTGGGAGGCTGGGGAATGGGGCCTCGGGCAGGGGAGGGCCCCCACGTGAGCCAACAGGAATTGCAGAAGGTGTTCACCGGCCTCGAGGAGCTGAGGTGGGCAGGACCTAGGTTCGGAGCCTCGAAAACGAGGTGGCGGGGACTCAGGGATAGAGCCTCGAGGAGCTGAGGTGGGTGGGGACATGGGTGGAGCCACGAGGAGCTGAGATGGGCGGGGACGTGGGGGGAGCCTCGAGGAGCTGAGATGGGCGGGGACGTGGGGGGAGCCTCGAGGAGCTGAGATGGGCGGGGACGTGGGTGGGGCCTCGAGGAGCTGAGATGGGCGGGGACGTGGGTGGGGCCTCGAGGAGCTGAGGTGGGCGGGGACATGGGTGGAGCCTCTAGGGACAGGGAGGTGGGTACATGGGCGGAGCCTCAGGACTGCGGTGGGCGGGAATAGGTGGGGCCTCTATTAGCTGAGATGGGTGGGGACATGGGCGGAGTCTCCAGGACCTGCGGCAGGCGGAGACTCGGGAGGAGCTTCAAAGATCTTAGCGGGTGGGCGACAAGGCTGGGGTCTCCAACAGCAAAGGAGGGAGTGCCCCGAGGGCAATGACCTGAGCAAGGGACTGTCGGACTAATGAATTTTTTAGTTCTGGGCTGCTGGGAGGCAGGTCTAGGCCTGGTAAAACTTTGGTTGGCGGAGTGGTCCTGGAAGCACCAAGTGGGGCAGAGTGTGGTGGGCAATGCCTTGGGGGGCAGTGTGGAGGAGCCCAGGTAGAGGTTGGGGACCTGCCTAGGGAAGGGCCAGGATGGCCAATAAAAGAAGGGGATAAAGGCGGGGCACTGGAGGACACGACCAGATTTCACCAAATGGAGGGTGCAAGAAAATTTGGAGACCTAGGTGAGTCTGCAGCCACGGGCGAGGTCTCAGTGGGGCGAGATAGGTGAGTCTTGTCTCATCTATCTCGTGGGGGCAGGTGGCAGCCTGTCCAAGCCTAGCTCCGACCCATTCCCTCCCTCTGCCCCTCCAGGAGAGAGGTGTCCTCGCTGACTGCCCGGTGGCGTCAGGAGGAAGGGGCGGTGCAGGAGGCCCTGCGGCTGCTCGGGGGCCTGGGCGGCAGGGTCGACGGCTTCCTAGGCCAGTGGGAACGGGCACAGCGCGAGCAGGCGCAGACGGCGCGAGGCTTGCAGGAGCTGCGAGGTCGGGCGGATGAGCTGTGCACGATGTAAGGACCAGGAAGACCGGAAAGGGCAGCGCGATCTCAACCCGAGCGCAGGGGGGGAGGCATTCCGGAACACATACCGACGTGGGGAAACGCCAGTTAAAGAGTGCAGGAAGGGTCGCATCAGCCCTAATAAGGCCCGAGGGGTGGAATCAATTTGAAAAAGGGTGTGGGCTATACCTTAAAAGGGCAAAAGGTGGGGCCAAGTGGAGTCTGAAAAAGCCAATTAGAGAACTAGCAGGGGCACTCCAAACAGTAAGCTTCTAAAGGTGGCCCAGTGGTGGCTCATGCCTATAGTCCCAGCCCTTTGGAAGGCCAAGGTGAGGTAGTGGATAACTTGAGGCTAGGAGTTCAAGACCAGCCTGGGAAACATAGCAGAGACCCCCATCTCTACAAACAGTTTAAAAATTAGCTGGGAATGATGTGGTGTGGCACCCTGGTAGTCCTAGCGACTCAGGAGGCTGAGGTAGGAGTGATCACTTGAGCCCAGGAGTTCAAGGCTTCAGAGAGCTATGATGGTGCCACTGCACTCCAACTTGGGCAATAGAGCCAGACCCTGTCTCAAAATAGTGAATAAATAAAATAAAATACAACACAAAAAAATGAGACAAGTCAGAGCAGACAGGGGAGGGCAGGGTGGAGGATTCCAGACCAGTCTCCATAGACACAAGTGGAGGGCTAACAATGGCTGGAGTCTTGCCCGGGCTATACCACTCAAGAGGCGACCTGGCAGCACTGGTTACTCATGCCCCAGGGTGGAACGGTCAGCAGTGTCTGTGGCTTCACTGAGGAGCGAACTGAACGGGCTGGGCCCACTGAAACCCATTCTGGAGGAGTTCGGGCGGCAATTTCAGAACTCTCGAAGAGGGCCTGACCTCTCCATGAACCTGGATCGATCCCACCAAGGCAACTGTGCCCGCTGTGCCAGGTAACAGGGCTGGGCCTGCCTCTGGGAGCCTTATGTGGATAGAACGTTAAAGGAGATATGGAAGGAGATGGGTCATTAGTGAAGGGTGGGGCGTTGTTCATTTTGGGAGACAAGGCATCCCAGTGCATCGTAGGACCAGCCAGTCCTGCTGCACTACTCATTTCTTCAAGAAATGAGAGCCTCATTTCTTCCCTCTCCGCAAGGTAAAATCAGTGTCTTGTGGAACTCAAGAGAAACTTGGTACGGGGTGCATTGGCTCACACCTGTAATCCCAGCACTTTGGGAGGCCAAGACAGGCAGATCACTTGGGATCAGGAGTTCGAGATCAGTCTGGCCAGCATGGTGAAAGTCCATCTCTACTAAAAATACAAAAATTAGCTGGGTGTGGCGGCATGTGCCTGTAATCCCAGCTACTCAGGCGGCTGAGGCAGGAGTATTGCTTGAACTCAGGAGGCAGAGGTTGCAGTGAGCGGAGATCGTGCCACTGCACCCCAGCCTAGAGACAGAGCAAGACTCCATCTAAAAAAAAAAAATGTAGTAGTGATCCCCAGAGCACCATGGAAACCAAGGGACAGCTGGTGCATCGTAGCATCCTATGATGCAAACTTCCCAGTGCATGCTGGGAAGGTTCCATAGGGTGCACAGTGGAAATGGGGCCAAATGGAGGCTGTGCAGGTGAGCTTGGGGCATTCTGAAGTTGGTACTGGGCCTCTTTATCTGGTGACCACCCCTCCCCCAGCCAGGGGTCGCAGTTGTCCACGGAGTCCCTGCAGCAGCTGCTGGACCGCACGTTGACCCCACTAGTGGATGAGGTGAAGCAGAGGGGCCTGGCTTCTGCCTGTCCCAGCTGTCAGAGGCTACACAAGAAGATTCTGGTACCAAGGAATATGGGCCACCATGTCCCATTTTACTGTTCTCTCGGGGCAGGGGGAGGGAAGCCCCGGACTCAAGGGTACTGCTGGTATGTGGCAGGAAGGGAAGGGCTGAGCTGGGAGCAGCAGGCACTGGGGGAGGACTTGGCCCTAATGCATGAGGGGTCAGGCAAGCAGTTTGGTGATGAGTGAGTCACAGGCCAATCATGAAACCTTGGAAGATGGACTTGAGCCCAAAGCATGATGGGACATTGGATCTAGTGCACTGTGGGACATGAGACAGGCACCAGTCTAAAACTTCATGGAACACAGGTCTGATTTTCTCTAAGCTTTTAGAGAGGTAGTGCCTTGTACGAGATCACTGGGGTCAGATATATAGAGGGGAGCCAGAACCCAGTGACTGTAGGTCCTGGTTAGCACATGCGTTGTGGGAAATGGGCATTACACAACACACTCAGCCCAATAGTTGCTGGAACTTGAGCCCCAGTGCATTGTATTGTGGGATGTTGACCTAATGTACTGTGGGATTCTGTTGTAGTGGGTGGGACAGACAAGGGAGGCACCATCGGACCCTGACATGTCTGAGCTATAGGACTACTTCATGAGAGGATGTGGGGCTTGGCGCGGTGGGACATAGAGATCCAGGGCACCAAGAACTGACTTGTTTTTGAGTCTCACTCTGTCACCCAGGCTGGAGTGCACTGGTGCCATCTTGGCTCATTGCAACCTCCACCTCCCAGGTTCAAGTGATTCTGCTGCCTCAGCCTCCTGAGTAGCTGGGATTACAGGCATGCACCACCACGCCCGGCTAATATTTGTACTTTTAGTAGAGACACGGTTTCACCCTGTTGGCCAGGCTGGTCTTGAACTCCTGACCCTAAGTGATCCACCTGCCTCAGCCTCCCAAAGTGCTGGGATTACAGGTGTGAGCCACTGCACCCGGCCAGGACTTTTGAGTGAAAGGTGCTGGTCTAATAGATAGGGAGATGTGGGCTCTTCTAAATTATGGGATGTAGAAGGTCACCATGTGGTAGGATACTGGGACACATACACATATCAAATGTAGGATAGTTCATGAGCGTAGGAGACAGATGATAGACACTGATTTAGTGCTTGCTGGGACATAGGTCAGGGACAGACAATAGGACAGACACAGGTTTAGTCCACAACAGAATCTGGAGACTAGTGCACTGTGGGGTCAGTCTCAAGCTCAAGGCATGATGGGAAACTCTGTGGGAGAAATGTGGGCCCCAGGGAACCCAACCCTTTGCCCTCCACAATCCAGCTCCCCCTCCACGCCCAGCCTAGTCCAGCAAGCCCAGCTGCGCCTACGCTCCTCTCCCCAGGAGCTGGAGCGCCAGGCCTTAGCCAAACACGTCAGAGCGGAGGCCCTGAGCTCCACCCTTCGGCTGGCCCAAGAAGAGGCCATGCGAGCCAAGAACCTGCTGCTGACAGACAAGATGAAGCCGGAGTGAGGAAGGAGGCTGAGGGCGTGGGAGGAGGGTGAGATCTGCGGGAAAGGGCCTGACCACTCCTTCCGTCCCAACACCCCCGCACCCAGCCATGTCAGCATCACCTCCCTACTAACCGTCGTGACAGGGAGAAGATGGCCACTCTGGACTATCTACACTTGAAGATGAGCTCGCTCCATGATCAGATCAGCAACCTGCCACTTGAGGGGTCCACGGGAACAATGGGTGGAGGCAGCAGTGTGGGAACCCCCCCGAAACATGGGGGCCCAGCCCCCGAACAATAAATGCCCCCTGGTGCTGGCATGAATTCTGTCTCCTTTTTGGCACCAGAGGACTAGTGAATTGCCCACACACCATGCACGACCTCTATGCCTACTCTGATTTATTTAATAAATAAATACATTTTATTATTCTTTTTGGAGCAGATTCTCATTCTGTTGCCCAGGCCGGAGTGCAGTGGTGTCATCTCGGCTCACTGCAACCTCCGCATCCTGGGTTCAAGGAATTCTCCAGCCTCAGCCTCCCGAGTAGCTGGGACTACATTCATGCATCACCACACCTGACTAATTTTCTTTTTTTTATTTTTTGAAATAATGAACTTCTCCAAACACATGATTTTTAAATACCTGGCTAATTTTTTGTGTTTTCCGTAGAAACAGTGTTTCGCCATGTTGCCCAGGGTGGTCTCAAAGTCCTCAGCGCAGGCAGTCTGCCCACCTTGACCTCCCAAAATGCCAGGGTTACAGGTGTGAACCACCACACCCGGGTGACCGTGATTTATTTCTCAGCAAACGCGAGGTTCTGTGGTGTAGTTTGGGTCTGTCTAATCAACATTTTGTCTATTATTGTTTAAAAATACCCCCTAAGTTAGTTGGTTAAGATAACAAACATATCTCAACTTCTAAAAGTCAGAAATACTTCTGACCAATCAGCTAACCCCAGGAGTGGTGAGGTGATTGGTCCTGGTGCAGACTTACCGTGACCAGCCAGGGCCAGGCACAGGGACTCACGCCTGTAATCCCAGCATTTTGGGAGGCCAAGGCGAATAGATCACCTGAGACCAGAAGTTTGAGAACAACTTGGCCAACATGGTGAAACCCTTTCTCTAATAAAAAGAAAAAAATACAAAGATGTGGCCAGTCTCGGTGGCTCAAGCCTGTAATCCCAGCACTTTGGGAGGTTGAGGTGGGCAGATCACAATGTCAAGAGATTGAGACCATCCTGACCAACATGGTGAAACCTCGTCTCTACTAAAGAAATACAAAAATTAGCTGGGCATGGTGGCACGTGCCTGTAGTCTCAGCTACTTAGGAGGTTGAGGCAGAATTGCTTGAACCTGGGAGGCGGAGGTTGCAGTGAGCCGAGATCGCACCACTGCATTCCAGCCTGGCACCTGAGCAAGACTCTGTCTCAAAAAAAAAAAAAATTAGCATGGTGGCACAAGCCTGTGATCCCAGCTACTTGGGAGGCTGAGGCAGGAGAATCACTTGAACTCAGGAGTCAGGTTGTAGTGGGCCAAGACTGTACCACTACACTCTAGCCTGGGTGACGGAGCAAAACTCCCATCTCAAAAGAAAAAAAGACTGTAACAAGGGATATGGGACGTATGAACCAGGAACCGTGGACAAAAACCTATGTATGATATATAATAACCACACATCCATACTGCATGATTCCAACTGCAGGACGCTGTGGAAAAGGCAAAACTCTGGAGACAGTTTAAAGATTATGTTTGCAGCCAGGCATGGTGGCTCAGGCCTGTAATCCCAGCAAAATAACTGGACAACTTGGGGCCAGGAGTTCGAAACAGCCTGGCCAACATGGCAAAACCCTGTCACTACTAAAAACCAACATTAGCTAGGTGTGGTAGCAGGCACCTGTAATTCTAGCTACTTGGGAGGCTGAGGCAGGAGAATCGCTTGAGTCTGGAGGTGGAGCGCCACTGCACTGCAGCCGGGAAGACGGCGTAAAACGGTCTCAAACCAGAAGGTGGTGTTTGCCAGAGACTGGGAGGGAGGGATGAACAGGTGGAGCACAGAGGATTTTTAGGGCCGTGAAATGACTCTGGATGACACTACAGTGGTGGAGACATGTCATCAAACATTGGTCCAAACCCATGTACAACACTAAGTGTGAACCTTCATGTCAGCCATGGACTCTGGGAGATAATGATGTGTTGGAGCAGGTTCACCAGCTATAAAAAATGAGCCACTCTAGGCCTGGTGCATTGGTTCATGCCTGTAATCCCAGCACTTTGAGAGGCCGAGGTGGGTGGATCACCTGAGGTCAGGAGTTCAAGACCAGCCTGGCCAGCATGCTGAAACCTGTCTCTATTTAAAAAAAAAAAAAAATTAGCTGGGCTTGGTGACAGGTGCATGTAATTCCAGCTACTGGGGAGATTGAGGCAGGAGAATCACTTGAACCTGGGAGGTGGAGGTTGGCAGCGACCCAAGATGGCACCACCGCACTCCAGCCCGGGTGACAACCAGACTATGTCTCAAAACAAAATAAAAATGTACCGTTCTGGTGGAGGACGTTGACAGTGGGAGAAGAGCTGCATGTGTCAGAGAAAGGAGAGTACGTGGAACTTTCCACTCAGTTTTGCCGTAACCCTAAAACTGCTCTAAAAATTAAAGTCTCTTAAAAACCCTGCCCTGGCCAGGTGTGGTGGCTCACGCCTGTTAATCCCAGCACATTGGAAGGCCAAGGTGGATCCCAGCACATTGGAAGGCCAAGGTGGATGGATCACTTGAGCCCAGGAGTTTGCGACCAGCCTAGGGAACATAGCGAGACCTCATGTCTACAAAAAACAGAAGAACCCAGCTGAGTGTGGTGGCGCATGCCTGCAGTCCCAGCTGCGTGGAGGGCCGAGTTGGGAGGATTGCTTCGGCCTGGAAGGCGGAGCTATAGTAAGCTGTCATTTCAGCACTGCACTCCAGTCTGGGTGACATAGCAAGAGCCTGCCTCAAAAAAAGAAAGAGAGAAAGGGAAAAAGGGAGAAAGAGAGAGACAGAAAAGAAAGAAACAAAGGAAGAAAGAAAAGGAAGGAAGGAAGGTCAGCAGAAGCAAAAAACCATTAAATTTTTATTATTTTATTGAGACGAAGCCCTGCTCTTGTCCCCCAGGCAATGGCGCCATCTTGGCTCACTGCAACCTCCGCCGCCCAGGTTCAAGCCATTCTGCTGCCTCAGCCTCCCAAGGAGCTGGGATTACAGACACGTGCCACCATGCCCGGCTAATTTTTGTAGGGCCGTTGGCCCCACAGGGTCGTGAGGTGTCCCTTATGCTGTGCTGAGGTGCAGGATCCGAGAAGTAAAGAGACAAGACACTGAAGAACTGGTGAAGAGCATCTGGACTCGGGGGCCACACCACCTATGAGCGGGGACAGGCGAGGTCCCAAATGCCCAGAAGCGTCTGTATTTATTAGGTACAAACAGGGAGAAGGGTCGTAAGTAAGGTCATCATCTAGAGGCTTAGTGATAGGGCATACATAATCACGTGAGTCACAAGCGAGGAGCCCACCCCATTATGTCACCTGGGCAGAGAGGTGGGCCGTGCACAGTAGGGGGCCATGGCGTGCCCAGTAGCAGAGGGTTGTGTACAGAAAAGGGGTCCACCCCATTAGGTCACCGAGGCAAGGAGGTGGGCTGTGTGTAACACGTGTCGTGCACAACACTTCTTATCTGGGGGCTGGAGACTTCAAAGGATTTCTTTTTTTTTTTTTTTTTTGAGATGGAGTTTCGCTGTTGTTACCCAGACTGGAGTGCAATGGCTCGATCTCAGCTCACCGCAACCTCCGCCTTCTGGTTTCAAGGAATTCTCCTGCCTCAGCCTCCCGAGTAGCTGGAACTACAGGCACGCACCGCCTACCCAGCTAATTTTTGTATTTTTAGTAGAGATGGGGTTTCACCTTGTTGACCAGGATGGTGTCGATCTCTTGACCTCGTGATCCAGATCCACCCGCCTCAGCCTCCCAAAGTACTGGGATTATAGGTGTGAGCCACCACGCCCGGCCGATTTCAAAGGGTTTCTAATAGAAAGATACTGTAAGCCAATGCAGTGGGAGCTGACAGACTTTTGCTCTTAAGATATTTATGGGAGAATGATTTGAGCTAGCACAGAAGTGAGAGGAGACTGACAGGGTGTACAGCCGCCGTGACTGATCACAGTCACACCAGAGGGGTTCTCCCTCGGTTACTTCCAGGATCTCAGGCCTGAGGCCTACTTTCCAAAGGAGCTGGATGCAAGGTGCTACAACTCCTTTATCAGGAGGAGAGGCTCCTGCTCCAACCTGCCATACAGCATATGCCCTTTCAGGAAGGGACCCCACTGCCGGGGTCTTTGGTTCTCGTCGTGGTCTGTTTTCCCATGTACTGCTTCTGTTCTGTGACTGCTCTAGGCATTCCTCCTACTACAAACTACGATACGGTTATATGGAAGGATTCTATAAATCAGCACTAAATGTGTCGGGACAGCTCCGACTACATCCGTTACATGATTATATAGAAAGATGACATGGGAGTAAGTATGATTTTATATATAGAAGCTAGATATAGTAAGCAGTAAGTTATATGACTATATAGAAAGATTACATGGGACTAAGTATGATTATATACACAAGCTAGATATAAGTAAGCAGTGAGTTATACTTCAGGCACTAATTGTGCCTAGGGTCTGCACAGTTCTCCTTCCTCGGTGCCCATGGGGGGTGTTACCCACAGATTTTTGCATTTTTAGTAGACACAGGGTTTCACCATGTTGGCCAGCCTAGTCTCGAACTCCTGACCTTAGGTAATCTTCCTGCCTCAGCCTCCCGAGTAGCCGGGACTACAGACTCACGTCACCGCGCCCAGCGTTGTTTTTAAAGAGACACTCTTGGTCTGTCGCCCAGACTGGAGTGCAATGGTGCAACCATAGCTCACTGCAGCCTTGAACTCCTGGGCTCAAGTGATCCTTAACGCCTCAGCCAAGTAGGTAGGAATACTGGTGCAGGCCACCATGCCTGGCTAATTTTTTGAAGTTTATGTAGAGGCAGGGTCTTCTATAGAGTGGGGGTGACAGAGTGAGGCCCTGTCTAAAGAGCAAAAATTAAAACAATTTAAATTTCCACATACACGAGGATTTTTTTTTTTTTTTTCTGAGAGGGGTTTCTCTGTTGTCATCCAGACTGGAGTGCAATGGCGCGATCTCGGCTCACTGCAACCTCCGCCTTCTGGGTTCAAGCAGTTCTCCTGCCTCAGCCTCCCGAGTAGCTGGGATTACAGGCACGCACCACCATGCCCAACTAATTTTTGTATTTTTAGTAGAGACGGGGTTTCACCTTGTTGACCAGGATGGTCTCGATCCCTTGACCTCGTGATCCACCCGCCTCGGCCTCCCAAAGTGCTGGGATTATAGGTGTGAGCCACCACAC